GCGCGGGGCGGGGAGGCGGAGGCGGGGTCAGGGCCGCGGGCTGGGGGCGCGGGTTCCTGGGCTGAGTGAGCGCTAGCCGCGGAGAATGGAAACTTTAAGGCAGGGGGCAGTGGGGACGCGCTGCTGCATCCAGCGTGAAGACGCCCCGGTATTTCCTTTTAGCCTTTCCGGCAGCCGGGCGTGTGAGGAGCAGAGCCGGGGGGAGGGGGAAGGAGAGGAGCCCTGCTCAATGTGACCGGGTCCCGAGGCTCGAGAGCCGCTTGGGTCCCGGGAAGCGGAGGCTCGTGGTGAGTGCAGAGCGCTGCTTTCTCCGCCGAAGCGCAACAGCTTGGTGCTGCCCCCCTCCCCCGCGCAGGAGCGCCGGGGCCGGCCGCAGGGCGATCGCGGGAAGGTGGGAGTTTGCACTGCGAGGTGCCAATGTCACATTTCGGTGCAGACGCCGCCCGCCTCGGCACTTGGGCCGGGGCCGGGGCCGGGGCCGGGGCGGCGCGCGGGGCACATCGCCCTCCACGGACCTGCCATCGAAGCAGCCCCGAGCGCTGCTCTGTGCTGCCGGGCGCCCGGCGGCGCGGATCCCCGCACCAGGCATGCAGGGAGTTGTGAGAAGCACCGCAACTGCCTCCACAAGAATCCACTCCTTCTACCTTCCCCCTAGGACCTCCCACTCCTTTTCCCCTTCCCTTCCCTGCCTCTCCCCAATAGCAGCCCTCGCTCGAAAGCTCAGGTTACTTCGCTAAGAGTTCTCAGCCCCCTCGTTTCTGTCCTTGTCTCTGCCTCCAACTTCTTAAGAGCCACCCAGCCCCAGCGATTGGATTGGGCAGCCCGTCTTGACACACCACTGTGCTGAGTGCTTGAGGACGTGTTTCAACAGATGGTTGGGGTTAGTGTGTGTCATCACGTTGGAGTGGGGATTAGAGAAGGGAGGCAGCCTTGCTGGAGCTGTGTGGTCTTCTCCAAGTGTGAGTTGCAAGCAAGAGGAGAGCTCTGTAGCTGTTGGGAGAAGAGAGAGGATTTCTTTTCAGCAGCTGCAAGGGGGAAAAAAACCCCAGTTTGTTCAGGTAAAGTAAAAGGCATCTGCTGCTGCTATTATTATTATTATTATTATTATTATTATTATTATTATTATTCATGACTTTGAATGGAATGTTAGCACCACAACTTGTCAAAGCCAGTTGCTGTTGCCTTATCAATGCTCCTATTGTAGGGCTGACAGATAACAGCCAACATAGCTTGATGCTTGGCTGTCTCCACAAAACTAACAGTCCTAATGCAGTTAAGGTCATGCTTTTGAAGGTATAGATTAGACAATCTCTGTTGGAGCGGTGTATCTGCCACTTAAATGTCCCTTCCCTCCCTCCCTCTCTTCCTCTTCTCTCACACTTTCTCTCTCTCTCTCTCTCTCTGCAATCTACACATTCTCCCTTCTCTATCTCCCTCCCTCTGCTGCTTTCACACACATGTGCTAAAATCTTCAGTAAATCACAGAAAATTAGAGTTGGAAGGGACCTTAGGAGGTCACCTAGTCTAACCCCCAAGTAAGAATGCCCGTGATTATCATACCTGTCTTCAGTTTCTTACAGGATAAGTGTGCAGCCATTTAAACGTGTGAAAACTACTGGTAAAACTAATCCAGCACAGTGTTTCTAACGTTTTAACTAAGATGCTTCACTGATTTCTGCAGTCAGGAAGAAGGTAGGGCAGGGTTTGTGCAGTGTGGACTGGGTCATTGTGGAACAAACCAGAGCGTTTTGAAAAGTGCATTTGAGATGTCTGTAAAGTCTGAAGGCTCCTTTATAGAGAGCTGGCTGGTCTTCTGATTATCACTGTATAGATGGCTTGGCGCACACATGGACTTAAAGTTTGAGAGGGAACCAGAAAGAAAACCAGAAAAGGTGTAAGTGGCAGAGTACAATGTAATACTGCCCTTGCAGCTGTGGCAGAGCAGATGGATGTGATTAATCTGCAGATCTGTTTGTGGAAGTTTTACAAGTCATTGAAAACTAAGTAGCATCACTATAATGGATAATTAAAGTCTCACTGTATTTATAGATTCTAAACAGGCTATCTGAAGTGTTAATTAAAAAGAAAGAGTTTTTATGTTTAGGAAGGATAGGAGGCAGAACATTAATTAGAAATTAGTGATAGAAAGTACTTTACTGTCATTTTCATTTAATATGACTATTAATTTCACTGGTAGCTGGAATGGGAAAAAGCTACCAAATTAAATTGAAAGCCAAAATGCTATCTCTAATTAGATTCTGAATATCTCAGAATTAATCTTTTCAGCTTATTGCTTCAGTTTCCCTGCTTTGACAGGTCCTGAAGGCTGAAGTGTTATTTTTGTTAAATACATTTTTCATTGCACCAAAGTGTCTCCCCCTGAAGAGTAACTAAATGAATTGTTTCTTTTGCCACTAAAACAGATCTTCATACAGAAACTCTCACATACCTGTGGTGCTTATGAATTATTGGTCTCTCCCACTTGTGAAAGAAATCTAACTCTGTCCTCACCATTTACAGGTGAGGTATTCTATAAATAATACTGTATATAATCCATTCTGAAATAAGATCTGTTTAGTAGGCTGAGCAAGGGGATTTATAGCTGGTGTTTTGAGATTTTGGCGTTCAACTGTGTAACGGTGCCCATAAAACCATGTTTCAAGTTGCACACATTTTTTGCCTCAAACCAACTTTTTAGTTAACTTTTTTTTTTTAAGCAGGCTGTTTGGCTGCTTTACAGATTGTTCTCAGCTTGTATTTTCAAACAGACTTTTTAGTAAGAATGTATCCTTATAAATGACCCACAGCAATTTCAAACAGAGCATTAGCTAAATCCTAATAACACTTCACAACCAGCCTAGGAATTAAGTGACTAAACTGCACCATTTTGCTTTTGCACTTAGCCCATTTTTTCCCTTTGTAATGTGTGATGGAAACTTTTGCAGCCTTCAAAAGAATCTCTCAGCTTGTGCTGAAATTTCCCACACAGTGCACATTAATTTTGAATTCCTTGTATCCTGCCCATGTTATGCTGATGGGAAGTTCCTTAAGCCAGGTACTGTCCCTGAAGACATGGTTTAGGCTTCTAACAAAGAGAAGGTGCAGCAGTGTGTAGAATGCAAACTACACATATTGGCTTTGTCACAGTCTACTTTTTTAAGGGTGTTTTCATGGATTTCTGTCAGATGGTTGATCAAGTGATCAAATATTTTAAGAAAACTCTTAGATAAACATATACATCTTATTTTACTGTTGAACAGTACTTTGCCCAGCCTTGTCAGTAAAGCTTATGAAGAAACAGGGAACATGAAATCATGTTTTCCCTTCCTAGTAGTGATGGGGCTGTTTAAAAGACAATGCCCACAGGGTAGTCCAGCTTCTTGTCAAAAAGTAATCTACTGTTCCAGATGGTAAACATTCAAAGACATATTTATGGCGACTTCTACATACCTCAGTTTGACATTTGGTTTCTTCCTGAGAGCACTTGTGCTGGGTATACAGATGAAGTTCCCATTAGCATCCTGACAGCTGTAAAAGTGTTCACAGGCTCACAGAGATGTCCCTCACAGTGAGATAAAAATAATCTGAGAAAAAGATCTGGGACCAAAACACCCACTGTGTCCCAGCAGATCTATCCATAAACAAACAAGGTAAAACATTCCAGAGGGACAAAAAGATCTCTAAACTCCGGCATGAAAACTGTAATATGTATTTGTTGCTGCCTTGCTCAATTTCGCTAGGCGGAATACTAAACATGCTATGCATGTCTGTACTACTAGTTGTTCATAAGAAGTGAGGGGACCTATGATGAAGGGAATCTGGGGGTTTCTTTTTCTTCCATATTTGTTTCCCTTAGTGAAGATCATGTCAAATACAGACAGTGACTTCATGGAGTTGTTGTCCAAAGTATTGCTTTTTACCAAGTTGCAAGCAAAGGCAGAATCTAAGTCATTTTTGTTTCGGCCAGGATGGGTTTTTGCTGTGAACTGTCTTAATTATGTGTCAATTTACTACTTTTCAAGGACTTTCTCTTCTTAGCACTTTAAAATCAATGTGAGTGAGCTTGTGCAATGCCAATATATTCATTTAATTGTTTTGTTTGGCTGCTTCCTTGGGCTTTCATTTTTTTGGTCTCCATTACAGAGAGGAAAGCTTAATTATGCACAATGCAAGTTTGCATTTTCAAAAAACCCCCAAACAAAACTTGGCATATTTCCAAATGGCATGTGACCATACTTCTAAAAGTAGAGTAAGTGGAATGGCATTAGAAAGAAAGGTAAAGATGAATTGCCCTAGGTATGGTAAGTATCAATGTGAGAATTAAAATCACAGTTTTTCTTTTAGGCAGCGACTGATTAAAGTATACTATTAAAAATGATGTGATGCTAGAACATTATTTCCAAATACAGATGATAGTATAAGCCCACACTCAGTGCAAGATAGGCAGCAATGGAAAGAATGATTTTTGAATGATTTTAAAATTCTGTTGTGACTAGATCATTTTATTGCAGAGTATTCTAAAAGTGTATTATCTGGTTTAGTTCATCCTACACACTGCATTCAATTTTATATTGTATTACTTTCCAAGAGTTTAGAGTGCTGTATTATGGTAATGTTTAACTTTATCTGTACAAGGCTGGATCCTAGTCACACATGCCATGAAAGTCATGGATTCCATGATTTTCATGGTTTAAAAAAAAATAGTACATGACATTTGGGGATTTATGTTGGCGTGGGGGGAGAGGAGAACCCATGTGATAACAGTTGAGGAAACTTCATGTTGAGTGGCTTGAGAGCTGGAAAGTTAAATAAGGAGTGAGAGGTCAGTGTCAATTCCACAGTAACCTAAAAAGAATTCAAATTAGTGGATCTTCCTGCCATTTACATTAGATTTCTCCTCAGAATTTTTTTCACTGTTGTTACCATCAGTGCAGTTTCATTAGAGGACCCAAAATGGGATTATCAGTGTGATTTTTAGAGTGGCTGCTGGTTATTTTAACCATCATGTTGTTCTGTTAATGGATGACACAATGACTGAAAAACCACAGCATAAATTTTGCTGCTGTTGCCAGCAGAGTGGTGATTTAATAGTCATACCAATGATGGGAAGGTTTAAGGAAACAGGCAAGGTACATTGCATTTGTATGCAGGGGTAAGAGGGGTATTACATAATCCTTTGGGTCATATGCTAATCACTGTATTTCTCAAGTTGAAAAAAAAAATTCCAATGCCTTTTTTCAAATATATATGGAAAACCATGTTAATTCCTAAACTAATGTCACTTAGAGAAAATATAACTGTCTGACCATTTGCCCATGGCTTACTTAGGAATCATCTGTATTTCAAAGTTAGACTAGAGCCCCTGTTTGCTACCAACTTCTGCTTCTGACTTATAGCCCTAACTGTGATGGGGGAAGGCAATACTTGAAAAGTTGGTGAAGAAGGAAGTGGAAATTGTGCAACTCCCCTTAGTTTTCCTCTAATGAGGAGACCAATGTAGCTAGTGTGTAGGGTTACCATATGTCTGGGTTTTCCTGGACATGTCCTCTTTTCTTGGCCTCCTGTGCTGCATCTGGGCAGGTTTTTAAAATAAGAGCAAATATCTGGGTTTTTTGCTCTTCCTCTGCTGTCCCAAACTGGCTGCCTGGGGCTGGGAGCAGCAGGCAAAATGATTAGCTGTCAGGGGTCATGTGCTCCCCATGCAGGCCCCGGCAAGCCAAGTAAATAGATGGAGAGAGAGTGTATGTGTGCGTGTGTGCATGCGTGTGTGCATATGTGCAACGTGGGAGCAGCTTGGCTGGGGGGCAGGGGCTGCAGGTCTAGAGTGCAGGGCACCAGCAGGGCTGGGGGGGTAGGGGGTTGTGGGTCAGGAGTGAAGGACGTGGGGGGTGCAGGCAGGCGGGTGTGGGTCCAGAATGCAGGGTACTGGCAGGGCTGGAGGGCAGGAGTCTGTGGGTTGGGAGTGAGGGGGGCTGGCAGGGCTGGGGGGAGGCAGGGGCTTAGGAGTGAGGGGCAGAGGCAGGGCATGGGCATATCACTGTCTCCCCACAGTCATATG